GTTTTTCTAGTCTATGATTTTTGTGTACCACTCTAGATTATCATGTGTTAATGAATATGAATGGAAATTTGCAGCGATAAATTTCTCACGTTTTGCAAAAACTTCCGTGTTGAATCTGTGATTGTTGACATTTAAAGCGGAACCGTTTCGGCGCCTTTAATCTAAATATTTGCCCTTCCATCAACTTTGAAGGAAAGTTAAATGATGGCAACGATTACCGATGCAAATCATTAAGGGATTAATCGGCAAGCTAAAAAAACCCCCTTCAAATAAAGAATCCTTATTCCGTAATATTTGACTATGAGTAGCTTCCATAGAATAGAAAGTCCAGACCAGGGACCTTTCCACAAAAAACATTTTTTTTTCATTATCCTCCAAAATCGGTTCTTATACAGCTCCCATTAAAAATCTATTTCGAATTCTTTTTGTACTATGTTTGTTAGCGATTTCTCATAATAATAAAATGTCATGTATATATAGGAAAATAATTATCCAACATAATTGACTCAATTAATCAAATAAATGTCCGTTTTCTTTTCATTTTACTATGTACAGTGATGCGACAGGAAAGAGTATTTCAATAAATTTTTGAGATTTAATAAAGTTTATACTTTTGACACTCATACTTTACTCTGGGGGGATACTTACAATTTACGGCTCGCAAATATGGAATGAATTGCCAGAATTTTTAAGTGTAATCCCACATTACAAAGTTTTAAATCAGCATATATAAGAAATTATTTTCAGTCTACAAACTAACAAAAAAGTGCCAAATTGGAAGTTTTACATTATATCATGTGTAAATATTATTTTTATTAGACCACGCTTTTTTCATATTCTTTAATATTTATTTGTTTCTGTACATACTCTTGCTGTCTGTATAAACGTTTTCAGGACCACAATGTAACTAGTTTTCTAAACTAATTGTGCTATCCTGTATAAATAAAGGACATTATTATTATTATTGTTATTATAATTACTGCACTCAAAATTACTGAAAATGAATATCTATTTTCTATTGTACATTCTTGTATTCAGCATTCTGGGAGATTCAATTGATCTCATATCTAATCACTAATTTTAAAAGGTCCTAAATATATGGAACCCCAATCCTTCAACTGGCGTCGGAATTTCATAAATATTATGGAGTCTGTAGAGGATTTCGCCAGGCGATGGGCCAGAAAAGAAGACCTTGACACTTTGTCAGAATGGATTAAATGTATTAGATGTATGTTAAAATCGCGCATTAAAAATTTGAGGGGCAATATGAGAACCATGAAATATATGGAGATAACGAACAGTATTCAAGCTCAAAAGTCCATTAAACAATACAAAATAGGAGCAGAGCAAACACGGACATCTAAACATCAGAGGTGGGATCAGGTGCCATCTATCCTTCTGTATTCAATAATCCAGTAGTTAAAAAAGAATAAGAGAGATTACATGATCAGTACATAATGGTCCCTTCTAACAAAGCAGGTAACAACATTGTCTTTGTTTGTAAGGCTCATTAAATTAAATGTATTTTAGAGGAACTTGGATTTAATTCTACATGTGGTAATCCAACTTATGCTCATAGTTCCCTTTCTAGGGAAGAAATTCTTCAAAATGTCAGTTTTGAATATTTTTAATATTCCCAACAACCAAAATGAATTTGAATTACCATATCTATACTGGATTCTGAAACTTCTTAAAAACCCTAACAAACAAAGATACATAGCGGGTTCCAGTAAATGTTCAACCAAGCCTTTCTTTACTCTTCACTAAGCACAGGATGAATTTACACCATTCAGTCAACTGAATGGTGACTGAAAGGTCTGGAAAGGTCACTGAATGACAGAGCTCTGCCATTCAGTCATCTTTCAGTAGACTTTCAGTTACCTTTTAGTTAACTAAATGGCAGCGTTTCATCCTGTGAAGATATTAACTGTAGTGAAAGAGAAACTTCAAGAATACTGTGCAACAATATATTCGAGAAGTAGTGTAAATCAGATGTAGATATTTAAAAATTCCAAGGAACTTCTGGAAAATTTGAAATCACAAGATTTTACCAAAATCAACAGCTTAAAAACTTACGACTTTTAAACTTTATACACAACCATTCCCCACAATAAATTAAAGTCCAGGCTTTTTGATATCATTGACAGCTGCTTTTTCAATAAAAATGGAACTCGTAAATTTACTTACCTTGTCATTGGTCATTTGCAAAATTATTTTGTTAAAAAACATTCTGATTGTAATACAAGTACTCTGAAGTTGATATTAGTAGATGCTTGAGTTTTTGATTGACAATATCTATGTGGTTTTTAGAGACGAGGTCCCGGGGCCACGAACGTTTTATTTTACTCAACTCAAATCAGAGTTTAACTCTAAGTTTTTTACTCACCTGAGTTACGACTCAAAAAAGTGTGCCACGAAAGTTAAAGCAACTCAACTCCGTTGAGTAACAAAACTCAAATTATTTTGTATGATGTAAGTGGCCTTGGCAATGTAAATAAAAGAAAAATAAATAATGAAAAACATAATCTCTTTGTTTTCCTTTTGAATCTACCTCTATAATGCCAATTCACATAATTGTGACGTAATATTTTTTGTTTTGATGACGTTGCAAACTACGGAACGGCTGTCTCACCAATATGGAAGAAATGGATGTACTGTATGATATCATAGTTGAAAATCCTTCCAAAATTAACGAAACAATATTCAAGGCTGTCGAAACTCCCCTCGCAGCATCCACTCCAAAAAGGAAACCTTCCTGGAGCGACTTAGACAGAGTGTTTTAATTGAATTTGTTTCAAAAAATGAGCAGAAACTTTTTGGAAAGTTTAAAGGACCGGGGAGGGGAAAAGTAGAGAGAGAAGCTGCCTGGGAGGATGTAGCAAGAGCTGTAAACGAGTATGTTTATTTCAAAGAATTATTTATAAATTTTCTTACCTTGATAATTTATTTAATACATTTTAAAAATTCTATAAAGTTTAAAATTATTCTTGCTTGTATCTTGTTAAGTTAAATTATAGATTTATTCAATTTATGAGCTTTTTATTTAGTTAATAACACGTCATCTGCGAAGACTTTGAACAGACTATATATGATGCACAAATAGAAAGTGCTCATAAAAGAAAAAAAGAAAATAAATGTCAGGTCCATTTTCCATATAAACTTAGCATAGTGATAATATATCATACAGCAATGGCTTAGCATAAAAGATTGTACTATTTATAACCCGGGCTACCCTTCCCCTTTTTAAAGATTTTCACTGAAACAAGGATTAAAGCGCAAAGAAATTTTTTCAGTTAATTTAATTTACTTTTCATATTGATATTTTTTAAATGTGAAAAAACTTGCAAATTACTTATGTGTGTCATGGAGGTGGATTTGATGAGCGCACATGCAACCCCCCCCCCCCCTCCATCTAGGAAGTCTTCATAAAACTTATCATATTCATTCCATACTGAAGCGTTGCAAGTATTGAGCTAGATTTCTTTTCACAACTTATTTCCGGTTTATTTCTGTTACAGAGTAGGTATTTACTTTCGGACAGGGAAGGAGGCATCAAAGCAGTATGCCAATTTGAAAGCCAGAGGTACACATCTAAAAATCATTTACTTTTTGTTATTCTGACTATATTCTGAATACAAAGCACATTTCAGTTAAAAAATCAAACCTTGTCTTTTATCTTTTTAGCATCGTTTCATAATATATATGTACATGTATCGGTAACAGGCGCGGATCCAGGAATTTTTTCCAGGGTGGGTCAATCCCCAATCAAAAAATTTCCAACCTAGAAATGTCTTGACAAGCCAAAAAACAAAAAAAAACAAAAAAAAAAAAAAAAAAAAAAAAACAAAAAAAAAAAAAAAACAAAAACAAAACAAAACTAAACAAAAGCAATCTAAAATCCATTTCCCCAACGTGAAAAAAAAAATTGTGGTGGTGATGGGGTCCATGTTTTCTAGAGGGGGTCCAAATTCGTTTTTTACTTGCTTCAGTATATACTTTTAATAACTCTGCAAATTCTGGACCCCCCCAACCCCCCTCTAGATCCGCGCATTGGTAACGCTCTTTTATTTACAACGGAGTCTCTAAATGAAATAAAGAGTTTGACAAGCTAAAATAAATTTTATTATTATTATTGTTCTTAACGTAGCAAAGGACAAACTGTCCCAAATTAAAAGACCCAAGACAGGTGAAGGTCCAAAGCCCCCATCACCAACCCCTGTTGAGCAAGCCATGTTGGATACTTTGGAGGGAAGGCCGTCCTTGCAGGGATTAGACTCAGGTTTTGATTCTGGTGGTAAAAATACTTTCTTGATGTAAATGAAATACATGTAACCACCTTTAGAAATAACCTTAATACTATTTCTAGAAATTTTATATTACTATATTGGATATATACGCAGTTCGTAAATCAAGTGAAAAAAAGCATATATATATATATATATATTTTACTATTAACTGAATTAAGGAACTAGTAAGTTGATAAAACTTTTTTCTGATCCTTTTGATTGGCAAAAAATATGTTCAAAACAAACAAAAGTGTTACGGGGCGCTCAAAGTTACTCATATTTTTATTTATGCATCATTGAAGAGTTACATCATCCTGTTTTAACAGAATTAGAGAAGGAAAGGGATCAGGTGGCATCCATCTCAACATGCAGCGAGGGTCAAGATTCATCTTCAGACACATACACCTCAGTGCCACCTCGCTCTAATAAAGAAAACAAAAAGGAACAGAGTTTATTAATTCTACAGAAAGATCTTCTCAAGACAGAAAAGAGAAAGTTAGAGTTAGAAATGGAGCTGATGCATTTGAAGAAAAAGAAGATGTTAGAGGAAGTTGAATTTTAAGTCTAGAAAAAGAGAAGCTAAAAGAAGAAATATTGTTATTGAAGTTGAAAAAGAATTAAATAAAACGTAGTTTTATAAATGCAAATAAATCATCAATGAAATTTTATGTTTTAGTATATATATCTATTTAAATATCGATTCTATTTACGTATTCAATGCCCAAAAAACACATTGGCGATGTGATCTCTAACATGCTTTCCTTCGTGTTGCCCTCCTACCGCAGGCAGCGCCACCTCGTCGATCACTTGACCTTGAACATTTGGTATCGGATCTACAATGTCATGTCTCTCAATCCCAAGATTGTGGAGAACTGTGCAGGCCACAATGATAGCGCAAGCTTTGTCGGGCTCCACCCGTAAACCTGTCTGTAGACAAGGAAACCTCCTTTTTAGGATACCAAACGCCTGTTCTATAACTACTCGCGTGCGACATAAGGATGTATTAAACCTCTCCTGAGCTCTGTTACTGGGAGTCAAATATGGAACCATGAGGTATGTTTTGAGAGCATATCCTGAATCACCCAAAATAATACCATTTTGCGCTCCTGTAAGCATAAAAATTCTATGTTCTGAATTGAAATTAAAACAAAAAATATCAGCAGTTAACTCCAAAAGTAAAGCACTTTAGAACGCCCTTTTAAATACCGTTTACTCGCAAATTTAATTTATATGTTAATGTATGACTGAATATTCTCCCTTTTGAAGCTAATTATTTTTTTAATCATTATTATAATAATTTATATTTCATAGAAAAATCACCTATGTCAGTTTTCTTATTTATGCCTTACCAGTTTCGAAGAGTCTAGCAAGAGACGATTCTCTAAACACACGGGAATCATGTACACTACCCGGCCATTTTGCAACGCAGTTCACAAATCTAAACGAGGCATTACAGGCCATCTGAAAGAAAGTAAAGTTACTATTCTTTTTTCTTTTTTTTTGGGGGGGGGAGTTGCAAGTACAAAAACAAGTTATGTTTCTGCTATATCTTACAAACAAGAAAAAAATTATACATGTAATATATTCCCTCGATTATTACATATAATGTGTTATATTTTCAAAATCAGTCTGACTATCAAATTTGCGACAATGTAAATGCATACAATCTGAGAAAAGCATGTCATTCTCTAAATTGATCCTTATCATTATCTCTCAATCTTGCCATAGACTAAAACCACGTGACTATCATCAGAAGAAACAATTGTATATTTTCTATGAAAATGTGATCTTGTACAAATATCCTTAAAGACTTTGAATATCATCTTGAGTAGAAAAACAGATGAGCATAACAAAAAAAATCATTTATTATAGGTATTGGTGGACATAAAAAAAAAAAAAAAAAAAAAAAAAAAAAAAAAAAAAAAAAACAACAAAAAACAAAAACAAAAAAAGAAAAAAAAAACAAACAAAATAAAAACATTCTATGGTTAAAATATTATATTAATTTATACTTCTAATTGTACTGCAAAACCTCTTAATGTGCGATATCACACGAGTCGTTTTCATATAAAAATAGCGAAAAAGAGAAATTTGGCAACCAATGAAAACGATATAATACGACTTAATTACGATACTTTATTTTCACCTGCACATATAAAGCAATTGAAAAATGAATTAGTTAGGAAAAACAACATGTACATATAATTACAAAAGATTATATTCACCTGTACATTTAATGCATAATAGCCCTTTCTACACACATATTCGGCTTCGTTCTGGGCAGGACATCGAATTCGAATTAATGTGCCGTCTACACAGCATACCACATTAGGAAAACCTTTTATAAAATTAAACACATAAAATGAAAAAACCAATAACAAACGTATCAGTGTTCACATATTTACTAATCATCAGTATATTTCAAAATATTTTAAAGTCGATTTTTTTTTGGGGGGGGGGGGGTGATAATAACCTTTTATCTTTTCTTTTAATCATTAATTAAAATATTTATTCCATATTTGGCCAGAATGAAAAATTACATAAATTATTGGAAAAGACATTAGAAAGAAAAAATTATCAATAATTCATGCGAAAATCACGAGTCAGCTACATGAACACAAGTAAACAAGATAGCACCTGACTTAAATAACATTATATGTATATTTAACCCCCCTCCCACCCCCCCACCCCCAATGTATATATATTGCAGATCTTTGTTTTAATACATGTAAGGCTATTTTTTTTTTCATTTAAGCAAGTGTAATATAATAATCCATTCATTCCCATAACAATTAATTGCTAAAATTGAAATATGTCATGAAACACAGCTAGGATTAACTTCCGAAAATATAGAAATTTGGGTAATTTCGCGCACGATACTTTTGTGCAGCTGATTCTGAGTTATCTCCCTTATAAAATGGAATAAGTTCATGGAATATGATTTGAGTGCGACATTTCAGATAGTTTTGGTTTTTTATTATACTTTTTTCTTATAAAGAATGTGGAGGCTGCTTTGCGGAACAGACTATTAAAAGTCATTGAAAGTGTGTTTATTGGATGTTTTATGACGTAACATTAGGCCTAGCGTTCGGGCACTGTACATCGCCAGGTAAGTAACTGCCAAGTACGCAGTTGTTTTAGACTTGTCATGTCAATACAGATAATCAAATCTTGGACATGTATACCTGCTAAACTGTAGAATTTAGTGCGTATCTCTGCAGTTTCAGGAATTGATGGGAAGCGAATGAACTGTCTGGCTAGCGAACAGAGGAGGGAGGTAACTCCTCGCACAGCTCGTCCTGTAGTCGACTTGGAAATAGCCAGCGAGTCCCCAATAAGTTGGTAAAACGCACCCGTAGCAAAAAAACGAAGTGCTAGTAACACCTGTAACAATGGTGGCAGAGCCGAACTCCTCTTCGTCGGATGTTCCAGTTGGTTTTCAATGAGACTACATATGAAGAAAATAGTGGCGGATCTAAACCTGTATCTCATAAAAATTTCTTCCTCTGTCAACGATTCCAGTGGATTTGATCTATCCTGAAGTCGACGTGGTATCCTCTCTTGCCTAATAATGTTTTGCATTATAATGCGCCTGGCAGCCATTTTTGTGTTGAGTTGACTTCTAAGACAGCTACCTAGCAATCTCAGATATTTTGAGAAAAACTCAAGAAAAAACTCTATTTGAGTAAGACTCAAGTTTCGTGGCACACTTAATTGAGTTCAACTCAGCGCTTTGAGAAAAATTCTCAGATTTGAGTAAAATACAGCCCTTGAGTTCGACTCAAGACGTTCGTGGCCCCGGGGCCAGGTCTTCCAATAATCTATTGGAATTCACATGGGTACCAATATCGCCCCGTTATTAGCAGGCCTTTTTTGTATTCATATGAAGCAGAATTTGTCCAAAATCTTATACATGAAAAGAAGAAAACACTTGCTGTGGCCTTCAACTCGACATTTAGATATATCGACGACGTATTGTCAATAAACAATGGTTATTTCGAATCTTTGTCGATACGATATATCCCGGTGAGCTTGAGATAAAAGATACCACAGAGTCTGTTTCATATTTGGATATTTTACTTGAAAAAGACGTTAATGGTAATCTAACAACCAAGTTTTATGATAAACGTGATGACTTTAACTTTTCAATCGTCAACTTCCGTTTCTTATGCAGCAATATACCTTCATCACCTGCATACGGGGTTTATATCTCTCAGTTGATTCGATACGCAAGAGCACGCTCTACGTATGTACAATTTCTAAAACGAGATAAATTATTGACAAACAAGTTGATGAAACAAGAATATCAGCAGTCTCGTTAAAAGTCATCATTTCCTAAGTTCTATGGTCGATACAATGACCTTGTCAGCAATTACAATTTATCATCGAGTCAAATGCTGACTACCTTTTTTCATTCTAATTGTTAGGCCATTATTTACACACTGAATTGTCGACGGATTTTTCCATTATTTCCCGATTATGACAAGGAGCACACGGCGGGTGTGACCGGTAGGCAGGGGATGCTCACTCCTCCATGGCACCTGATCCCACCTCTGATGTTTGGAGGTCCGTGTTTGCTCTGCTCCTATTTTGTATTGTATAATGGACTTTTGAGCTTGAATACTGTTCGTTATCTCCATATATTTCATACTAATAGATCATATCATTCAACGGTGCGCTTGAATTTTAATTTCTCGAAGATCTTTAAAAAAAATCAATGTATTAAAGAACAATTACAAATCAATGAATGACTTGGCAATGGTTTAATAAAGGGTTTCAAATTTTATTATAGAGTCATGATAATTTAAAATTCAAATCAAAACAGTATGACACAAAATAATTCGAATAATTATTGGATGGGAATGATTTTTTTTTCCGGATCTCTCCCCCTCTCTCCTTACTTATTTGTTTTTGTTTTTGTTTTTTTTTTCGGGGGGGGGGAGGGGGTGTACGCACTTGCGTATTTACATATCTAGGCTGCCTTCGGGCGAAACGGAATCGGTCGAAGAAGAATAATCATTTTCATGTACTTTCCTTGATTGGCTCAAACATGTAGAGCCTATTCTTAAATGAAAGATCTACCTCTGGTATATCAACATCTCCGTTCCCTAAAATTTGGCATTTTTTAAGATAATCGAGAGCACTATATTATATTAATACTACTTATACTATATTTATATTATTACTACTATAAGTTTCTGATGTTGATTGTCTCTTATGACGTCACAAAAAGGGGAAGTAACTCAATTGATAAACGTCATTTTTAGCGATTTTTAAACAGGTAAATATAGAAAACAACGAGGTTTAAAATTTTACGAATATTGTGATTCCCTCTTTTTAACTATTATTTACAATTGCAACATATATCATTTACAAGTGTTTCTATTTCCTATGAATTTGACCTTTAATGAGGTTCTGATTTTTTTATCATAAAAATAGAAATTAAATATATAGAGTGATCAAATACCAACACCTCTGTCAGTAGTCTTACTGTTTATTTGAATAGAGCTTACAATGCTGAAATATGTCAAGAATCTTTGGAAACGTTTAACCGATTAATCGGGCGGAGCGTCTAGCAGTTAACCAACTGGCAATTCTGTATTCAATTGCCATCCCTAATATAAATATATAGATTATATAGCCTATTTATAATCCCTATATAATCTATACAAACGCAAACGGTTTATACCATTACATTTCTAATGTAATTTGGGGCCGTATTTACCGGATGATCAGTGCGAGTGCATGGATAGTTGCGACGTCACAGACGACGCCTCAAATGATGTTGTTAACAATGGTTGCAACGGTTGGAGCCAGTTCTGATTCCAAAGAGGCAAAAACGTAAGGCCAGCTTATCGCCGGAATTCTATCCAAATATTTCGACAGGAAATGATGACTTATACTCTACGAAAGGAAAACACGGAAGTTAAAACTTGTAGTCTGGACAATTTTTAATTTTTCATTTTATAACTAAAAAAGGTGTCGTCAGGCAGCCTTCAATGTTCTTTTTATTGACTTAAAACTATATAATAAATCAATTATGGACTCTTTTAATGGTGAATATGGTTTGATACACACCAGAAAAGATCAATATTCACCACCAAAAATCGAGTCCATGCTTGTATGATATTTTTCATGACCTTGCTACGAAATCATATGTAAAAACTCCACAAAAAAAAAAAAAAAAAAAAAAAAAAAAATTAAAAGCGCTAGTGCCGTCACAAAAAAAGTTAATCAATGTATTAAACATTTTTGCCTTCATACAATATTCAACATATTTTGACATTTCAAAAGATCTTCTGCTAGACTGGAAAGCTAATTATCAAGGAGTTCTGCATTTAGAGTGTATTAAGTATTGTTCATCAATCCAACAGTCAAGTTAATCAAATTGAACCAAACAGATCAAATGACTGTCTATCTCTGTACTTCAATACTTTTATCATTTCTTTCAAGAGAGGGTAAAAAGTTATACATGTACAGCTTAAGCTCTTTATGTGTTGAATAAAAAAAGAATTATACGGTAAACTGTTAAGTCTCTGCAGTCTATGCAAAAACATTGTACATACGTATGTGAGCTTCACCTCTGCTCGCCACGACATGTAAACATGGAAAGAAGCTTTTTTCGAAATATTTTGAAAAAAAAAATTAATAACGCACTCTTATTTTCCGTGAAAACGTATAATTTGCATTAAGACAATTTCCTGGTTACGTGAAGTGACACCTAAAGACAGTAAATGGGCCTGGAGTTCATTTTTTCCTCCTTATTTTCGAATTTACAAAAACAACTAAAAAAAAAAAAAAAAAAAAAAAAAAGAAAAAAAAAAAAAAAAAAAAAAAAAAAAACCTAATCGAAAATATTCGGTTTCTTAAAGGAAACAAATTTGATTATTTCTGTAAAATTATGCTTCAATCGCCACTTGTAAATAAAGCAATATTATGAAAAGTACCCATATATAACGTATTTTCAATGATAAATTTCCTGTATGAAATGAATAATTAATGAAGATATTTGTTGTAAAAAAGATCAAAGAAGATTTTTACTGCAAACAGAGAACTTGATCAAATTGTATGGGGATTTTTTTAAGCGGAATTTTTCTTTTGGAAGTGATGCTAAATTCTTTTTTTATGACTCCTATTTAAATTTAGGTTCTAAACAATTATTTTCTGTCACAAGAAAACAATTTTACTAACTCTCAGGTTTGGTGGTTACACCAGCAAGAAATTGTACCCTTGTAATTAATTCGTTTTTTAATTACGAAGGGTTTGCTATAAGCAATATCTGCGATAATAATATACATACACAAAGTATCAATCATGAGGATCTCAGACTGAACAGAATTAAACCATTTTAACATGCCCTTCAAGTAATTTTTGTCTCTCCATGCGTATAATTCTATGATCAACTAAGTATACAATTCATAATAATAATTCCCAGCATCTGAATTCATTTTTATTTTACATTGATATTTTAGTTAAAATCATAGATCACACAATAGCCTTACGTTAATTATCGTTAAAAATCTTGATAAAATGTGAAAACAACGAGCATAAATCATTCTCAAAATAATTCAAATCGTGATCAGGGCAAACGCTGAACTGTGAAAACAAAATTGGTTGGATCAGGTGCTATGGAGGAGAAGGCATCTCCTATCGACCTGCCAAACCTGACGTATGATCTTTGTTAAAATCGGGTAAACGGAAAAATCTGCAAATGTAGACAAATTCAGTATTAAAATAATGGCCCTACAATTTATATGAAAGAAAAAAGTCAAAATTCGAAGAAAAAAAAGATTTTATTCTCATACAAGGACTTTGTATTGATGATAAACTTTGCAGGAATATGATTTTAAATGAGAATGTTGAAACCCTTGAATCATCAACTTATATGTCAGTAGCCTATCTCGTTTGAAAAGATTTTCGTAGTTCGTTTGTTAGACCATACCCTTGCGTATCGAATCAACTTGAAGAAATATGCCGCATACGCAGTTGATAATGGTATACTGCTTTATTAACAAGGAAAGTTGGCGATAGAAAAGTTGAAGTCATCACGGTATCGTAAAGTTAAGTTTGCCTTATATGTCTTGCTCTATAGTAATTCTCTCATATATTAAAAAAAATTAGTTGACTCTGATATACATTTAGTTCCTACAAAAATAGCTTAGGTTTATTACTATTATTATTATTGTTTTATTTCTACAAAAAGACCTATGGGAAAAGGGGTTTTAGAATTGAGTTCGCAGGTGATGCTGAGAAAGAATTGGGTTCACTGATGAAAGGCCTTTGCTTTGAATCACCGACTATACAGTCCATTGAACTGACAGATCATATCCCACTCCAAAAAAGCTCACCATTTCTTTTGAATTTTTAGTCTCAAAATTTAGGGCCTATTCAGTCGAAAAGTAAAACTTAAATTAATGTTAGTTAAGGTTTGTTAAGGTTTGAGATGTAAAAGACGAGTGATCTCAAGGACGTCTTAACATCCTTACACAGATAATTCACAGGTTCAATTGAAAACATCAAGGTATCCTTCACCAAGGAAGCAAATGATTACCTCAAAATATAGACAGTTATTTTGAGGAAGTTATATTTTTATATTCTTCATAATATATTTCTCAATCAAAATTTAAACCAACCTGCATAAAAGGTATATACCAAAATGCATGTATATAACCCAAGAGCTCATTTCATATTGACAGATGCAAATTTATTTGTCAGTTTGAATGATAAATGATGAATTCTGATTTAATTTTTATTCAATATAAGGGAGGAGTTTATAAGTCTGACCTAATCTAAATTATTTTTCATTAACTTTAAGTATATGAAATGGTTAGTTTTGTTTGTTTGTTTAACGTCCCTTTAAGAATTTTTCACTCAAATTGAGACGACACCACTTGCCACTGGAAGGCTGCAAATTTAGAGTTATACTCGGCAATAACGGCCTTTGAGCAGTGACGGATCTTTTTCTTTCTTTTTTTTTCTTTTTGTGCCAGCACCTTCTGCGACACGGGACCTCTGATTATACGGTCTCATCCGAAGGACCGCTCTCCACGTCCAAGAGTGAGATTCGAACCCTAGAGGCTTAAGAATCAACTTCTTACTTCACGACTCTGGAGCAAGCGCTCTAACCACTGCGCCACGTGGGCGACATGTAATCTACCCGTTGACGAAATTAAATGGTTTTTTTGACTAATTTGAATAATAAAAGTACTTTTTATTTTACCCTTTTTAATTATTTTTTTTAATTTCTGATAGGAGATGAAAAGACAACATTATAACAAATATTATTATTTCTATTTTTATATACTCCAGAAGTTTAACAAGGAACAGGATTTTGCTACTTATGATTACGATTACCTAAAAAATTATCAGTAGATAAACCAAAATCAATTGTAGATGACTAAACTATCCGTAGATAAACCAAAATCAATTGTAGATGACTAAACTATCCGTAGATATACCAAAATCAATTGTAGATGACTAATAAAAGGAAGTTTGCCCTGAAGTAACAGTTGTCAGTTCAACCGTCCTTTCTCTTTACAACCCTGACAGCAGAAACTGAAAAAAGTTGTTCTTTTATTTGACAGAATTTATGGGTATGCCATTTCTCTTCGTTCAATAATTCACTGACCATGATGTTTTACTACTATGCTGGTAAAATGTCAGTCATAATGCATTGACTTCACCATACCACTTAACTACATGTTTCAGATAATAAATATACTTTTAAAATACTTTTAATTTTAAAAGGAAAATTATATCAATGTGTAAATTCTAAATGTCAATGACTCAATGACTTAAAAATATTAATTGTGAATTGTTTAAAAGAAGCAGGACAGTAAACATATATGTATTGTGATGGTCAGTGATATAAGATGAATTGGAAATAATCACTATTTGCTTAACATTTAAGAAGATTGCTTTGGTACACATTTGCGAATTTTCAGATCAGTCAAAATAAATGTATTCCATACAAAAATCTTTCGATTAATCGTTCCTTAACATTTTTACCAGTTTCTCCCAAAAGTCGTCATGAGCACAAGATTCTTCGGGATATTCAATAAAAGAGTCTCTCTTTACAAGGTCCATAACTTTACTGGGATAACCGCTATTGTACACTTCCGGTAACAAGATAAGAAGGACAAAATCTGAGCTTTCACGATCCTTGATTTCCTCCACTTTAGCCATGTTAAGCTCATAGTCCCGCCACTTTGACTTTAAGTATCGTTTTGAAACAACACATAAAACCTTCTTACTTTCATGAATTCCAGTCATTATAGAATCCACTTTTGATAATCCTGGGAGATAGTCCCTGTCTCTAACAAGAAGACGTAATCCAGCATTGATTTCAAGCCGGGGTAGGACCTCTCTTCGTACAAAATTTCTCTCCATACCAGCGTAGGATAGAAAGACGTCGTATTCGTAGTTTAGATTTATGGAATTTTGAACATTCAGTTTGTCTCTAACTCGGAATTTAAGTTTGGCTTTGTATATTATATAACGGATCTTCCATCTGTTTCTTACCAGTAAAACCCCGGTTAGCATGCTGATACAAACAGCAAGTGATACAGAGCCCGTTAAATACCATGTCAAAAATGATCTACAGTTTTTCTCTAACATAGAAATTGACCGATCCAAATTTTCAAATGAAAATTTCATATGTCCAGGCGAGCACTGATATTGCTGAATATTTACAAAATTAGCTTTATTTATCCTTAACCATTTAAGAAAACTTTCATTATCACAGGAGCAACCTAATAGATTATCAGAAAGATCAATGATTAACTTAGATTTCCGAAAGGCATTCTCCAAATGTTTGCGATTTTTTTCATCAAAAGATCTTATCCGATTTTGTGATAAGTCTATCGATGATAAATTTGTCATATGATCAATTTTTAAATTCCATCTTGATATCTGGTTGTTGCTAACATTTAAATACTTTAGCATCGAAGAATTTTTCACCAGCAGATTTGAAAGTTTGGAAATTTTACAGAACGAAATGTCTAAGTTCTCAAGTGAATAAAGAGACTTAAATGTTTCTCCATGTACATCTTTATCTAGATCTTGGCCTATGTCATTGTGGGATATATTTAAATTCTGGACTTGTCCACCGTCTTTAAGTATTGAAGGGGATATGTGGGAGCAATAATTATTTGAAAAATCCAACGTCATCCGGGTATTTGTTGGTTGAATATAAACAGGACCTTCCCAAGAGTTCACAAAGTTATTCCGTAAATTAACAATCCGGAGATTCGGTGCAGAAATTAAAGTTTTTCTAACCTGTACATAAAGTCTACTAGAGTAAGCATATATTTCTTCTAGATTTCTTGGAAAAAAATAAGTCACGTTCGTACTAGTGTCAATGTTTTTAGAAGTTTGTTGTTTTGTAACTTCTTGACAACTAAAATCAGCATCATTACACAATTCAGTCTTTTCTCTACAATCACTTATAATTCCTTCAGGAAACGTTGGTGGATACTTCTGAAAGCTCAAGTTGTATACTCGCAAATTTTCTAAAGTGCTAAATTCTAGATAATACAGCCCAGTTGTCAATTTGTTTTCGGCCACCGATAATATCTCTAAAGTTTTTGGAAGATTTCGTAAGACTCCTGGAGCAAAATATTCCAATCGGTTACTGGCTATATATAATTCTGTGAGGTTAGTGTCTTTGAGAGAAAGAAGATGAAAACATTTTATTCCTGTTCCAACTCCGGCTCGACAATTGACTCCATTAATACTCAGAGATTTTAGCTTAGTTTTGTTCAAATTATATGTTATATTGGGCAGGGATGCAAAACCTAGCTGGCGATTGTAGGAAATATTAAGATGTTGTAATTTTGGTATGTTGCTGAATGATCCCTTATCGATATCCTTTACATTGCAGTGGGAAAGGTCCAAAACCTCAAGGAATGGAAAATTTGCGAACATTTGCGAATCAATATACTCGAGATTACATATTCCTACAGTCCCCGACATATCTAAAAATTTAAGCTTATTTAAATGCAAGAAACTTTTTCCAAATTTAGTGCTTGGTATCCCATTCATTTTTAAAATTGAAAGAGAATATAAATTTGTAAAACAATCTCCTGGAAAAGCTATGCCTGTTTTATTACCGCTGTTTCCTTTTATGTTCAGCACTTCTAAGGACAACAGTCTTCTAAACAGTTTCTCGAAATTTGAACAATTCAGCTGATTTCCCTCTAGATTCAGAGACTGAAGTCTTGTTAAATGCTCGAACGGATTTCCATTCACAGTTTTTAAGTTATTACCAGATAAGTCGAGAGATAATAATCTTTCTGGCAGTTTTGTACTCTTCGATGTAATAGTCATGATTTTATTGTTACTGAGGTCTAACCACGTTATGCTGTCGTTCATATTTGGTATTACATAAAGATTCCGTTTCGAACAATTCACACGGATTCCCTTTTCGTATAAAAAACAATCACACTCAACGCTACCAAACCAACAAGATGTAGTCTCCCCTGCATTACTTTGAAAGAAGTCTATTAACATAGTCACAGAAAAACAAATGAGAATTCGTATCCTGCTATTCGCCATAGTTATAGCTGCCAAAATTGTCGTATATGCTGTCCGATTTTTAAACAAAGCTGCTAAATGCTATATAATTTAACATGTGTAAGTTAATCGTAAATGATACTAATGGGCATGGAGATATCAATGAGGAAGTTTTGATCGTGTAATGCTTGTGGAAGAGGTTTAATTGCACTTTGTTCTGAGAGTTTCATCACAAAAGCTTGAAGTTTCTTTATATATGTAAAGCTTTTAAAGTGTTTCGTATACAAAGTCTGAGGACATTTATTAGAGACAAAACAAAACATTTTTCAGTTGTTTTTTTTTTGTTTTTTTTTTTTGTTTTTTGTTTTTTTTTTTTTTGTTTTTTTTTTTTTTTGCATTGGGTTTTACAGCCATTTAAATAACAGTATAAGTTATTCAATGCTCCTTGCTCTTGCAATGTTTGTTTTTTCTTTAAAAAATGAGTTACCTTTGATAATGATAAATGGTGAATTTTGATTTAATGTTAATTTCAATACAAGGAAGGAATTAATAGTTCTTGAACCACATTGAATTATTCTGCATTTACGTTAATTATAAAAAATGCTTCTAACAGTAATCTAAATTAAATGAGCTCTTCTTTAGGAACGCAAATTTAAATCAATAAAAAGGTCACTCTTATTTTGTCTTTTTTTTTTTTAATTTTTTTTTATTGCTGATGATGTTTACTTGATGATTACTTTAATAAAAAAAAAAACCGGGCCCATCCATTCCAATTTGTTTAAAGGCATATTTTTGACCATTTCTTTTAAATTAAAAAGTCGTCGCCCGCCTGATGCAGTGGTTAGAGCGTATGCTTAACACTTGCGGAGGAAGGAGTTGATCCTTACGTCGCGGGTTCGAATCCCACTGTGGAACGTGAAGACCAGTCCTTCGAATGAGACCGTATAAACCGAGGTCCCATGTCGCAGTAGGTGTTGGCATGAAAAAAAACCACCTCTCTGCTCAATGGCCCTGATTGCCGAGTAACGGTCAAAATCTGTAGCTCTTCACGGGCAAGAGGTGGCGTCTCCATATGAGTGAAAAATTCGTTAAAAAAATTCGAAACAAAGTTAGAAAACAATAAACAAACAAACCAAATTAAAAGTCAGCTTTTGGACAAATGGAACGTACGGATCAATATACATTTATTAGAACTACATGATGTTTCCACACTAACTTTTTATTGGTTTTACATAAAAAAAAATCGCCCATGTAGCGCAGTAATTAGAGCGCTTGTTAAACACTTGCGATGTAAGGAGTTGATCCTTACGTATTGGGTTCGAATCCCACTTTGGGACGTATAAACTGAGATCCCGTATCACAGTAGGTGCTACCACGAAAAATCCCTAACTATCCAACGGCCGTAAGTGCCGAGCACAGGTCTAAATTTGCAGCTTTCCAGCGGTGGTAGCGTCTCAATACGAGTAAAAAATTGTCCAAGGGGCGTTAAAGAAACAAACGGAGAAAGTCACAATTACTTCCGTTCAATATAGTTTTATAAAATTCATATCAACAACAACAACAACAACAACAACAAAAAGTAAATGGCCACCTTTTAGAGATGTCAGGCGTAGATCGATAAAATTTTATCTCAACATTAAAAAAAATATGCTCATTTCCGATACAAAGCATTATTACATCTGCATAAAAACATATTCAAAGGGCTTCATTTAATTTTGAATTTTACATACGTGTGACTTTATCAATAATAAAACTGGAATATAAGGGGAAAAATATACAAAGGAAGCATAATGCATGAATGGAGAAACCAAAAGTTTGATTTTTTCACAATTTCGAAAGACAAAAAATAATTTTTATGGTAAATTTATTTTATTAATCCTTCGTTTTCCCTACAAATATCTTTTAATTTCGCTGAAAGGGAAATTAATAACAGATTTTGGAAAACCTTAAGGATAATATGATGATGGATATAAATTGGCACAAAAAATGTATTTTTTGTTTTGTTTGTTAAAACTTTGACAGTTCAGCAGTTTCAGCTTATGCAAGAATTTACATTACCCGGTATGTATATTCTGCAATGTCGCAAAATTTTATCTCGATATCTTAACGAACAAAGAAAGTATTTCATCGTTTAAGTTACTTTACCGAGGGATAAGGTCAGTGGCAACTAAATGTGCAATGTTGTTAAATTTTCATATGGTAGGATCGAGTTTCGAGATAAACCCATTTTGATATGATACATATGAATAAGCATACCTTGTTTCCATAGTCTTATTTCTGTATGTCCCTGAATATCTCTCTTATTATGTGCTAATGAAAAGAAAGGAAGTTGGTTCAGATTGGAAGCACTGAATTATCTCATGTTTTATAATAACTTCCCGTTGCATCCGTGATGGGCGACAATTGATAAAACACTTTGGCGTTATTTAACTTTCCATAAACTTTTTAGGACAATTTAAATGTCAAATCAATTCCTTCTATGTAACAATGATATCTTTTGCAATGTTAAACAAACCATTCATGAACTAATTACTTATGCTTTAATTTTCCCAATTTCCAACTGACGACCTAGCATACCCGACAAAGAAGACAGTTCCATCTTTTAGAAAATTACATTTATATTTGAAAATGTAAATATCAAAAATGCCGTCTTGTAGAATTCAAATACACAAGGCATTGCTAATTTTCCATAGTCCTCGTTCACTGACGTCAGACGTAATGACAACCGGACATTGACATACATATTAGAACTTAGTCTTTCACTTGAAAATGAAATTTAAATTCAGTGGAAAATAACGAGGAATTCACAAACTTGACTTTCAAAGAGTTACAACATTAAGAAATTTTAATATAAGTATATAGCTTGGACATTATATTTTCAGCATTATGTTTTTAACACTATTTAAGCTTCAGATAGTGTTGACATAGCTGTGGCATTTCAAAAATGTTATAAAATGTAAAACGAGATAATAAATCGTACGACATAAGAAGTCGTTATAACGAGACATTTATTCGTACGCATGGGATGACAAATTATTGATGAAATTATAAGTCTTAATTAAGCGATAATAATTCTTAATTAAGAGAAAATAAGTCTTTATTAAGAGATAGTAAGTCTAAGTTAAGAGATAATACGTCGTTAGAGCGAAACGATAAGAAATAGGGATTTTTATACTTCATACATCCTTAGCATGAACAGAAGCAAAAGTTGAAAAGAATTAATGTTAATAACAAAATCAAGGACCAATCAAGGAAATTTTTCAGGGGGGTTAAATATCCGCCCAAAAAATTATCATGTATCAGAATGTCATTAACCAAAAAAAAATTTAATAAAGTTCTAAACTTGAAAAATCTCTTTTGTAAGTGTACGTTAGTGTGTGTTATGTGTGTTTGTGTGTGAGAGGGTAACCTCGTTATAACGACTTATTTTATAGTGTGTACAGCCTAATCTATGTTGTTTATACGCTATACTTTCTCGTAATAACGACTGAATTATTTTGCCGTTCGTGCGACTTAATATCGCGTACGTACGACTAAGTGGATGCCGTTTATATGATTTATTAAGTTGTTAGTTGTCTAAGCGTATGTCAAGTGTACTGCTTGGGTGTCAGGCTGGGATTGTGCCATTCCATCTTGATATTTGGTTATTTACAAACTATAGACGATAAGGGTCAACCAACAACTAAATTGTATGACAAACGAGATGACTTCAACTTTTCCATCTTCAACTTTCCTAATTTATGTAGTAATATTCCGCTTTTACCTGCATATGGTGTTACATCTCCCAAATTATTCGACACTTAAGAGCTTACTTCGAGTACGATCAATTTTTAAACCGAGGCAGGCCACTTGCAGAATTTCCAGGGATTTTTACAACCTCGTTTAAAATCGTTTAAAATCAGCATTTCATAGTCGTTATTATGACCTTGTTAGCAACTATAACCTATCATTGGGTGGTATTCTGGATGACTTGACAAAAGGCTCACGGCGGGTGTGCCCGGTCAATAGGAGATGCTTACTCCTCCTTGGCACCTGATCCTACCTCTGGATTTTCCACGGGACCATGTTTTATGCCCTCTAAATAGAATGTAATGTTCGTTATTTTCGCCTTATTTTAATTTGCTGGCACGAAAGTATGAACATTCTATAAATGAAATATCTACGTTCTCAGAGGAAACTAAAGCCTCAAATTACATCCTTGTCTGTGTCTTGACCTAAGTCATTGTGGAATTCATTTATACATGTGTCTGGGCTTATTTAAAGGCATTTAAAACGCAGTATGTTATTTATTTATTTGATGATTTGTCCGTTGAAAATAAACTTCCAAAGAGTGATTTTTTTTCTGGAGCATTAATTTGGAAACTATCAGCAGGTTTGGAAAATTTAGAAAACTCGAAATATTTGAGCAATGAACAGTCCATCGTGGGCACGCGGGGATGTTTTAAAAATTTGGTAATCGCACTTTCTTGGTAACAGATTTGACGATTACTTGTTTTTCTTAACATTTATCTGCAATTGAACCAGGAAACAAGTGCTCCTTAATACTGACGTTGTACAAGGTTTTTAGTAAACTATAGTAGGTTCTGGTTTAACGAGGTACGATTGGAATACTCTGGTTTACCATGGTACTTACCTTGATCTACTATAGCACCACTATTTACATGCATATGAATCATTACACTAGAATTCGGAGATTGAAGGAATGTATGTCTATAAAGCAATTCTTTAGATCAAATTAAATGTTAATAATACAAACGACTAACATTGCTTTCTCATCAAGTACTCTTGGTTTACAAGTAATAAAACTTTAAAGGTAAAATACATGTTCGATCATGAAATGTTGATAGCCTTGAATGTTGAATTATCATATAAATGAAGAAAACAGTAAAAATATACACAGTATGTGTATATTATATTTTGAATCCATAAAAAACATCCAACTTCAACACCGATGTAATAGACTAGTTTCGGTTTTGATTCATACCTGCCACCTTGTTTCATTTCATTTTTGGCAGTAGATGAGCGAGTTAGATAATTATATCACTTTGAATTACTCG